ACCAAGCAAGTTCAGTATTCAATTACTTTCCCCACTGAGGTCTATACACCTTTGTTACACTTTTTCCATATGACACTTTCATAACCATATTTAGCTTTCTTCCTACCATCTCCCTGTAATTCAAAAGGCAATTTAGACTCCCATATGGTTGCCATCGAAGCTAACAGATGTCTAGCAAATTAAAACAAAAATTATGACTTATAAACTGCTGATGTATCGTCATTCCAGAACATCTTACAATTTATAGTGAATCATAAGATAAGGCTTCCTACTTGATGCCCCCCCAAGGTTCCCTAAATCTCTCTCCTCTCTGAATTTAAGCCCTGTGGAAACAAATTAGATACAATATTCTGCCATCAACCCAGGATAAACCTCCTCTTAAAGACACAATGTAATATTTGAAAGCACATCAAAGAGAAATTTGGCCTCAAGTATCCAAGGCTGTTCTAATTGTAGTACTGTAAAGAGAAGAGAAAAACCAGTTGGTGTCCCCAAGCCATTCTTGGTTTTCCCAAGTCATTCAAGGTTTCCACTGATCCATAGGGCTTTTTTTTCTAATAAGTGACAAATTTACTGAATCCATTTTACTGAATCCTAGGAAGATCTTAAAGGTATTAACGTTACCTAGTGGTAATGATGCCAAAGTATCAGGCTAAAGTATTCTAGAAGTTCTACAGTGCAGAATGGAACCAGTATAAAGTCTAGAGACAATAACAATAATGATAGTCACCATGTGTTACATATTGAGACATTGTACTGGGTAATATGTTACTCACTGAATCCTTGAAACTAAAATTCCATTAGATAATGTTATCCTTCCTTTATAAACCAGAAATTATGGCTCAGTGCAGCAGAGTGTATGTTCCAAAGATGGCCACAAGCCACATGACCTTGATGTTTGTCCATAAAAGGTAGAATTTCTTTCTTCTCCCCCTTGAAATTTAGCAGACTCCATGTGTGCTTTAATGAGTAAAACAGACAAAAGTGACAATGGGGCAGGTAAGTAGTTTTAACTGGCTGGAACCTTCTTTCAGTCTCAGAGACAGGAAGAAGCCTCAAATAGGTGCTCTAACCAACAATCCTGGCTGAGCTGTAAGCAAACATCAACTGCCAGTCATGTGAGTACACCATCCTGGCCATCCTACCTCAGTGAGACTTCACATCTCACTGCAACTGCCCAAGAGACCCCAAGTGCAACTGCCCAGATGAGCCTGCTCAAATCACATAACTGTGAGATATAATAATAAAGTTTTGTTTTAAACCACTAAGAGTTGGGGTTGATTGTTACATAACAACAGATCAACAACACCAGAATGAGGTCAATTTACTTGCCTACAAACAGTTAAGCATTAAAACCAAAATCCAAAAAGGTCCTGGGGCGCCTGGGTGGCTCAGTCGGTTGAGCGGCCGACTTCGGCTCAGGTCATGATCTGGCGGTCTGTGGATTGGAGCCCCGCGTTGGGCTCTGTGCTGACAGCTCAGAGCCTGGAGCCTGTTTCAGATTCTGTGTCTTCCTCTCTCTGACCCTCCCCTGTTCATGCTCTGTCTCTCCCTGTCTCAAAAATAAATAAAACGTTAAAAAAAAAGTTAAAAAAAAAAAAGTCCAGAGCAAAACATCTATTAATGGTGTGAAGTGATGTGGGGGTTCAGTCCCCCCAAAAAAGAGACTTTAAAACAAAATTCCCTGTCTCTTCCCTCACCCACCTCAAAGCAGCCTAAGGGTTTTCCAAGAAATGTCCTAGTAGGGAGACACCCTCAATAAAACCAATTCCTTTCTGGCTTGAGGTCTTCCAACATTAAATAGGGAAAATGAGATTTTCCCCACCACCCTGTGACAACTAATGAGAAAGGAATCTGTACAAGATGTTGACTTTGTTACTCAGAATATCGTACAACTGTTATATAAAAGGATTCATATTTTACACACCAAACTGTAACTCTAATAATAAAAAAAAAATTTTTTTTAATGACTCACAGGACTCCATTTGAGATTCACAGTTGGGGACAGGGAAGAATGCAAACTACACCAATGAGTGAATAAGCCAAGAAGAAAAAATGAAGTAAGAAAACTGATCTTCAGACAACTCTCAGTAAGAGAAAAGGTCTGTAGTAAGTACTCCAATAGATGCTATTTTCATTATACACGGTGCTCATCTCTTGTATTTTTCTTCCCTAGCCTATTGGAACATGACAGACACATTCTTTGTCAGAACTAGAAAGAACCTTACAATTCATCCAACTCCTTCATTTTAAGAGCTGAGAAACTGAGGCCCAGGGCAGTTAACTGACTAGCAAGGAGTCAAACTACCCATTAGCAAGAGAACCAAGCTCACAGTGCCAGGGTGACAATGTCCACATGTCAATTGTATTTCACCAGAACTACACCTCCAAACGTCCTCGATGTATTTCACATTTATTCCAGCATCTCACAGCATGAAAATGAAAGATTAGGAAGCCGTGCTCTCTATTATGAATCTCTTCTTCATAACTGTGTAAGGGTAGCATCGAGTCTGCTGTTTCTGGCAATAACTGACAGGATGGTAACTCTGCATTGAGCAGAGATGTGCAACTTGACAGAAGCAGACTGCCAAGTTACTGACCCCTGTTCTTCAGTCACTAATATCTTAGTCTGAATTACTGTACTTTAATCGAATGTCATGTTACCTTCCTGCTGATTGTGACGAGAGACTATGGTACTGACACACTGGGAGATTTAAATATGGGGTAATTTTGAAGTAGACAGCAGGATAGGAAAGGTATGAAGGGGCATCTGGGTAAAAGGCACTAGGCACAGAAAGGAGGGAGGAAGCATATACAAAGCAGAGAAGGGCTATAAGGAAGGCTTCCACTTAACAATTTTGCCTGGGGTAGCTTGTTTAGTTCCACAGCCTAGGTTTCCTCTCAGGCTTCCCATAAAACTCCCGCCAAAAGACCTTCAAAATCAAACAAGAGGAAGCTCTATTCTGGAAGTCTCTATGCACGCATTCCGTAATTCTTTGATGCTCTCCACAGTTCTAGTGGAACTGCTACAACCCAATCCACAGAAAATACTAAATTTTCCTCTGTATACTGTACAAAACTACACCAAACTGTTAGGAAAACAGGCCCAAATCCCTTTATGTCTTTTCCACCTCCTGCTATGAAACTACAGAGAAAGCCCCTGGGTGCTTTCTGTTGCCTGGTAGCTGAAACATGCAACTTTTGAAAGTGTTCAAGTAGAATGCAGAGGCCTGGACTCATTACCTCAACAAGGTCCAGTCTCAGTTCAGTAGTCCCTGACTCTCAAAGTCACAAAGTTTCAAGGTCCAATAAAATCAAAACACCTCACTCAGAAATGTGACTAGCCAGCACTTTTCAACATTTTTCAGATGAAAAAAAGAGAAGCAAAGAAAAACAATAATTTCTTCTTCCTATTAATTGCAGCAGGGAGGGGGCGACCACTCACAGGAATCACATACAATCTCTGGCAAGAAAAACATACAAACCTGTCTGTGAATGACTAGATACAATATTTATTCATGTTATCCACCCCCCCCATTCTCTTTATGAGTCTTGAGGACAGATGACATGGTGACACAGAGTGGTCCCCAAACCCTTCCATTTCCCTTTGCAAAACATGCAAACCAATGCAAGACACTTCAACAGAAAATAGGAAAAAATGTAAAAATGGCTTTGTTAATGTGAGTAGGGAAAAAAATGAATATACAGAGCTATATGGATAACTATTCTCATAGCTGTACATGTCTACAACAAATGGCTAAAATTAACAATCAAAATAAACACACAATGTGTGCATACTGCCGTGGATTATGACTGATCCCACCGTTGCATTATTGTGTGTCTCATACTGAACCTACACTGAATAGCAACTTGGAAAACACCCCCAGACAGCCACCATCTTTACTTTCTACTGGGGGAGGGGGCGCATTAAGGAAGAAGATGGGATGGGATGGGATGGGATGGGGGGGGCGGCAGGAATAACACAGTCTTTGAACCAACGGTCTCTCCTTGCCCTAGTGAACTCTTTGTCTGGTTGCTGAACACGTTTGTGAAATCAAGGAAAAGAATCCAAACAAAACAAAAGAGTAGGCATCCCAGCCTAATTACAATAGGTGCCCAGCACCCTGTGTTGCCAGCAAAGCCAGAGCGTGGTTTGAATCTTTCGTTCAAGCATTTGCTCTCCGTACCCCCAATAAAACGTATCTCATACATTCTCTTTGCATTTCTCCAAGGTTTCCCCAAAACGGCCCACTCTGTGTCACTCCTTAGAAAAGGAGGACGTGAGGCACGAACACACTGAAACATGTTGATGGTGACTTGTTATCATCCTGAGAATATACACATGGAAATAAAACCCTCCACCCCACGCGCCCACTAGCCAGTCCATTATGCAAAAGGAGCGCTTTCCAGCTGATGGGGAAGAGAGCGCAGGAAGCGTTATTTACGTGTACATTACAGAACCGTATACCACTGCATCTGCATCCTACACAAAGCCCGAGATGGTGCAAGAAGATACACGCTGAGCATGGCACAGACCAGCCGCGGCAACACGGAGCCAAGCCCTCGTCCAATCAGATCCCCGTTAGAAGGTGGACCTCAGGGTCGGCTCTGCCCGATTAGCCTTCCCTATTATGACACCACGCTCTGCCCAACAGCCATATCCCACCGGGAGCAAATCTAATTCGTGCGGTTGCTCATTTCTCAAACTGCCGAGCCTTTCTTTCATCTGCATCCCTGCTATTCGTCCCTTAAACAGCCACCCCAAGGCCTGGGTGCCCCCTTTCCGGCTCGGTTTTTCTTTTTACCTCTTCCCACTCCTAAATAGGATTAAATGTTTATCTCTCCAACGCGCAAGCTGGAAAGGCGGAAGGCAAATGCCTCTCCTTGCTCGGGCAAGCGCCCGAGGGGCTGCGAAAAGTAAAAGCAGCAAGCAACGTGGGGGAAATCGCCGCGGATCGATCGGCCACAATAGTTGAAATCCCAGAAGCGCTCCAACTTACCCAAAATATGACATTGAAGCCAAATATGAAATATTTGATGCAACAACTGACTTCAGGACCCTTGTAGTGCTTCCCGGACATCCTCTGGGTTCATGAAGACACTTGCCCCGGCAGCCCGAGTTTGGAGCCCCGGAGCACCGTTGCTCGGAGCAGCCCGGAGGGGAGCAGGGGATCTGGGACGCAGCTCCGGGCCGCGGCTGAGCCGCACGGGGACCGACCGGCGGAGAGCCGCTCCCGCACCTCCAGCCCCCTGCGCGTCGAGGCCGCCGGAGCCGGGGTGGCCGTGAGCTAGCGGAGAAA